AAAAAAAAAAAAAAAAAAAAAAAAAAAAAAAAAAAAAAAAAAAAAAAAAAAGACTCCACTGCGAGAAATATCCAACGGTTCAACGTGACAGATCAAACAAGATTCTCACACGGCCGACACGTGCGGTTTTTATTTATTTATTTATTTATTTGGACGCTTATGCTCTTCCCGTCGAATTAGAGTTTCTTTATTTTTCTGTTTCTCATTTCTTTCAGAGCTCGCATCGTTAGGGTTGCAATTCGAGGATTTCGATAATGGCGTTGGAGAAGGCTAAACAGATTGTGGCTTCCAATCCCGTCGCCGTCTTCAGGTTCATCCTTCGATCTTCTTGTTTCTCTTTTTATGAATCTATTTCTCGGCTTTACGAATGGATTTTCGCTCATTGCTAAATGGATGCTGTTTTGTTCTTCTGTTTCAAATCACAGCAAGACTTCCTGTCCTTACTGCGTCCAGGTGAAGAGATTGTTGACTGGTCTGGGAGCCAATTTTAAGGCTGTTGAATTGGATACTGAGAGTACGTACTCTATGTTTCTTCGTTTGAATTCTTTGCGTTCGATTTTTTAATCTCACCTTGTGTACCTGCATGCCATCTGTTTGGTTATCGATGGATCGTACGACTGTATTTTTCTATTTTGCGCTCTGCTGCTTGCGGATTTAGGATTGGTAACAATATAGTTGTTTTCTATAGCTTCTTGAAATTAATGGAATATTGATAGACTTTCCCCCGATTGTTTGGGATTCGGATTGTGTTAGTTAACTGTTTCGTGCTCTGGATGCATCTTTGAATGCATGTACTTTCTCTTGTTCTTTAAGACAAGGAAAACTTTCAAAAGGAGAACTTAAAGCATTTTTAACTATTCACTGTTCTCGTGAATCAACTGTTGGCGATTTTGAAATGTCTTTTCATGCTCCAACGTGTTCAAAGGGATTCAGTTTGAATGATGGAGTTTGGGAAAAAGACGAGTAGTGCATCCGTTGAATGTTTGATGACTTTTTCAGAGAATTTGTCTGTAACCTTTCGATGGAAGCTGCTATAAGTACAGTCTGGATTTTATTGTTTACTTTTCCATCGTTTTAACTTCGAAGCACCGAATATTTTGTGAAATTCAACCGGGTCTATCCTAATCCTTTGGCATCTTTAGGTTTGACTTTTCTTCTATTGCAAGATTGTATTCATGAATCGCATATTATTGAGTTTTCTACGCTTCTAGCACTGAGCAGGATTTGCACCCAATTCTTTGATGTTCATTATTTTTATATGCTTTCAAAGCTTTCTAGTCATGCATACTTCCCAACTTGGCTGCTGATTATTTGGATTAAATTGATTGTAAAGGTGATGGAAGTGAGATTCAAGCAGCACTTGCTCAGTGGACTGGACAGCGGACCGTCCCCAATGTGTTCATAGGTGGGAAACACATTGGTGGCTGTGATGGTAAATTTTTCACTACCCTCTCAACTTGAATGACCATTATTACACGTTTTCTTATCCGATAGTATAACATGTTAATGATATACACACACTCGATCCAAGTTTTTGAATTACCAAAATGGAAGGCTTTTAAATTTGAAGAGCTTTCTTTTTAATCGATATAAGTGATTCACACGTTATGGTTATAGAGCCAAATTACTATTCAAACCCACATGTTAGAGGAATTAAGGGTCAGTAGACCACCATAATCTAATCTAATCTAAGCTTTTTAATCCCTAGTTTCTCTTATTAAGATTTTTTTTGTTCTTTTGGTTGCTTCGCAGCAACAGTAGCACTGAATAGTAAAGGGGGGCTGGTTCCTCTCCTGGCTGAAGCAGGAGCGACTGCCAAAGTTTCTGCTTAGAAGGAGTCTGAGTTACGTTATTACATAGTTCAATTGGATGAATAAACCTTCTACTTGTTGTTTCTTGCTCTACTGTTGGCATTTCTACCCTAAAAAAAATGCTTTCTGAGTGGACCTTTTAGTAGTTCGTTGGAATAACTGGAAGGAACCCGTGCTTCCTTTGCATCTAATGATAAGTAATTAGTATGCCGAAATTTTCTTCACTATTTTGATCTTGAATTTTCTACAGGTCTATTTTGATCTTTGAAATATTTATGAAGTTAGTTTTTCTCCCTTCTTTTTGCATGTTCTATTGTGTTCATCTTAAAAGTTGTGAAGATTCCATTTTTTTTTTTTTTTTTTCATCAAGGCAACGTAGAAGAAACCTTTTTCTTTTCTGATAAAACGTTTGATTGACATTTCAAGGGTCAAATTAGTGTTTTTAACTAATCCAAACAGTGATTTTGAATTTTGTAAAAGCATCCTTTCTAAAAACATTGTCTAATAAGTCTTCCACGAAAAAATTAAATTTATATGATAATTTATATATATATATGAGATGGTTATGAACACAAAACTGAAATAAAAACTTAAAAAGAGTTATTAAACATTCTTCAAACTTCCTAAACATCAAAACTAAAACTTAGTAATTTAGATTTTTTGTTATAGGCATATCAAGTCGTCTTCCTTATGCTTAATTTATAATTAATGTATTTAAAAGTACTCAATTGACTACTCTTATGCTATTGAAATTGACCCATTCATCAATTACAGAGAGAACATGTTTAGAAGCGTTTTAATTTTTAAAATTAATATAATTAACAAACATAAATTATGCCCAAAAGGAAACCAACTTAGGGTTCATTAAAAATATATATATATATATATATGATGTGTAGTTAAGACAAATTTGGTTACCAAATTAAAAGCATTAATTCTTAACAATTAATAATTAGCTAAAATTATTATATATAGAAAAAATGTTAATTTTTTTTAATCTTTTGACTAATCTGATCTGAGAGTTGTAATTTTATCAAATTCAATTCTAAATATATTAATATCTTTCATTTGTGATACGGCCAAGTATATATGCATAAGCTTTGTCATTTTTTATTTTTAAGGAAGGTTATTTAGATTCAAATATTGGATATTATAGCAACAATAATTTAAATAATTTGAAAACATGACCCCAAAAAAAGGCTGGTACATTAATAGGCAGTTACCACCCTCATTTATTTTAGGTTAAATGATTTTAAAAAAAAAAAAAAAACGTCTCTCAACTTTTTTTTTTCTTTTGTTTTAAAATATTGTTATCAATCTTTAACTTTTTATTTAAGATAATTAAAAAAATCCATAGACAAAAGTATTATTTATAAACTTCATTTTTTTAAAATAAAAAACAAAAAAGTTAAATAATTTTTAAACTGGTCTTGGTTTTTGAGTTTTGAAAAAGTTTATGAACTTTTTTTTTTTTTTTTGGTTTTATAAATATATGTTTTAATTTTTTGATCTTATATAAAAAAAAAAAATTAAAATCTTTTTAGTTTTCCAAAAAAGTAGATAATAAAACAAATAAATTAATAGGGAAAAGTATTGTTTATAAATTTAACTTTAAAAAATAAAACAAATGGTAATTTCAAAATATAGTTTTTAAATTATAAAATTTAGCTAAAAATTTCAATATTTATAATGAATGAAATGGTAATTTTTATAAACAAAAAAAATTAAATAATTATTAAAAACGAACTTTAATTTAACATGTTATCCAACAACAAATATAAACATTAAAAAGATTATCCATATCCTGCGAACCATTTTTCGAATATTAAACTCGAAATGAAATACTTAAAAAAAAAAATAAAGAGTTTTTGCAGTTTAAACCCTAATTATTATAAAATTATATTATATATTGTATAAAGACGAGAATATCAAAGATTCCCCTGACAGATCAGCTCCAGCAGATCCATCTCTGATTTCATCTCTTCATTCTGCATCAGATTCAAACACTCCATCCCCGATCCCGACCCGGACCCAGATCCGTACCCGAACCCGAAGCAGAACCCCCCGCCCTCCTCCGCCGCAGGGCTGTGGCTGTCCACCAGCAGCGGCAGCGAATCGGAGATTTTGCGATCTCCTGCGGTGACGGATTTGATGTAATTTTGAAGAATCGAGCCGTTGGGATTGGAATCAATATCTCTCCCTTTGAGCTTCTTGGAGTTTTGGCGGCGCTTTGTGGCGTTCCAGTGGTTTTTTATGGTGTTTTCAGTCCGTCCGGGCAGCCGCCGGGCAATCTCCGCCCATTTGTTTCCGATGTCTTTGTGGGCTTCAATTAGTATTCTGTCTTCTTCTTCACTCCACGTGTCTTTCTGCACCCACATCCCAAATTTAATAATTAAAAAAATAAAAATAAATAATCAATATGCATTTTTCATACTAAAATAAACACAATTTAGCTATAATTAATATAATTAATTCTCTTAGGAATTTGTTTTAAAAGAAAATATTCTAAAAAATAAAATAAAATTCAAGCCTAAAATAAAACCGTTATCGAGAGTTACCCATTTGAACCCAAAAAGCTATCATCGATCATTTATTTACAACAATTAACTAATGAATGATCGTCTGAAATGACTGTTACAAAAAAAAAAAACCCCAAATTATGCAAAGTTTTGGGAGGAAAATTAATAACAAAACATAGGCTAATTTTCATCGAATTAGAATGGAAGGCCATTTTTCTTTTATTATATGCCCTAAAAAAATTATATTTATCGTGAGTTGTCAACTACGTATAGACAAATGGTAGACATGGAAAGTGTTTAACGCTCTAAAAATGTGTCGAAAAACATTATACGTCTTTGAAGAAAGACCAAAACGTCACGTCATATTCCGATACAACGTGCGACACGCGTTGAGATAGCGAATCATTCATTCCGTGAATTAAATGATATACTATATATTCCATGTTGACATATATGCAAAATGTATGGTATGTCGGTACAAATAGATACGTGTAATGTATGACGGGCATGCGTATGTACGGATATCACATGAGATCGTATGTATGTATGTATGTATATGTATATGTATGGAGAGAGAGAGAGAGTGAAGAGAGAGAAGGAAAAAACCCTAATGTCTGGCCGGAGGTGGTTGTGCCATCTCTCTCTACACTGCTTCCCTACTCTTCCTTGCAGCATTTTTGCAATTTGTGACCATTTTTTTATGCCATATTCATCCACTAATTGCACCAATAATCTGGAAAAACACACACAAATTCAACGGCTGTGATTTAATCATTCAAACATACAAAAAAAAAAAAAAAAAAAAAAA